CAACTAGGAACAGAGTTCCATAAAGTAAGGGAGACTTCTTCTTCCTCCCAACCTCGAACTCACAGCTATTGCGTCAGCCTGCGCCCAACCTATCAAGCCCATCAATCGCCACCAACCCTCCTGAACCCAACACGCCACTCAGCTGTCCAAACTCGATGCCCACTGCCGTTGAAGTGTCCGCTCAAAAGGGGATGGTAGCCCTCTGCATGGAGAAGAAGAACACCAACTTGAAGAAGACGAAGATGGCTGCCACATTGACAAACACTCAGAAGAAGAGTTTCGATGGCAGCGCTGCCTATCCCCAACAGCACAGTAAAGAGGAGGCGCCTCACAGAGCTCAGGGCCTGATGCCAGCGCTGTCACAACATGAGCTAGGTAACCCCCAGCTATGGCCACCAGCCCTCACAGCATGAAGATGATGCCGCAGGTAAGATAACGCAGCACCAAGCAGGATGCAACCTCCAGCAGCACTTCGGGAAGAAAAATGAAAAACAGAACCCGTTTTTCGTCTACTCTTCTCTACTTCTATATTTTCCTAGACCTAGACCTTGGCCTCCAGAGGCCACCAAAACCTACGACCTCTGAAGTCCTACAGCCTACACGAATCTAGACTGAAACCCAGTCTAAGGGGGAAGCCTACGTGCCTGCAGAAAAGACACAAAGAAGGCCAAACGGCCTAAGACCAGCCAATAGAGACTACTGCAGTCAAATCTAAGGATCGAGCCCAACAAGACTCAAAACAAACAACCAACCAACCAAACAAACAAACACCTTACAAGTCCCGGAGCACTCGAGATTCGGACTCAGCAAACAAAATTAGCGTACAGACCACGTAAGAAACTGCAATTCATTGCAGTCAACTGGAATCCATACTCCTTCATGAGTTGGTGCCAGGCTTTGCTAGCGAACCTAACGTCTACGTCACTAACTATTGTTACACGGTTATATACAATTCTCGAACGGTGTTTCCACAATCGGATGGGGAGATGGAGCACAGGTCACCGGTGTAAGCGACGATCACCGTGGCGTCGCTCTGCCTTGGTTGCAAGTAGCACACAAACTCTGATGCTTCGATTAATACCGTCGTCGGGCCGCCTTCTCCGGACATGTTGACCTGGACTGCTGCGTACCACGCCTGCGTACTGATGAGCTGGGCCAATCGCAAAAGACCTGGACTCAGCCTCGGGTGATAAACTTGGCAAAACTCCCGATGCGGCCGGGTTTGAAGAAGACGAGGAGGAACTGCTTGCTCGGAGGCGAAGTTCATGGCGATGGCTGAAGGGGGAGAAGATCGGGTGAAGGGCAGTTAGAACTAGGATCGTTCTTGGTGTCGGACTCAGAAAACGAGGAAGGAGGAGGAGGAGGATCAGATACAGCTGGCAGAGGAGGGTGATACGAGATATGACGAACGAGGTGATCAACTCTTCACTTACATCTGTAAGGGAACCACTCATGGAGAACCTGCAACTAGAAATCTCTGAGCAGTTGTCTGAGTGCTGGACCGGGTCAGCCTCTGGCCTGGCGTACGAGTTTCATGGGGAACGGTCAACACGTGCCTTTGTCTCCTTCTCTGAACTAGCAGCCACAGTGGGGGCAGCTGAGCCTCCTACCAGCCAGTCCCTTTTGCCGGCTGCTTCTGTCACTCAGTGCAGAAAGGGATGATGCGGTCGTCTTCATCTTGGTGTTGCTTCCATTTGAACTAGGACAAGTTCATCTGCTTCCAGGGTCTCCTTCCTCCTTCCCTGGACGCCAAGGAGACATACACAGGCCCCTACCTCCTTGTTCTTGGTAGTTCTTCTCCGACCTCTAGGTGGGGTGTAATTGCCTTTCCCGCCTCTCGAGGCTCCTCCTGTTTTCCCATTCCCAGGTGGCCCTCCCTTGTGGGTCGTGACTGCAGCATATTCCCCTCCACTTCTGTTTCTTCTTCATTCCCCTATCTTCTCATAGGGAACATCTCCTCCTCACTCCTCATAGGTAAGAAGCAGATTGTCTTTGCCTCTCACCTCATACACAATGGTCTTCCCTCTGAACTTCTTCCCTTGGGACAAGTCTTTGAACATGGAGAAGCAGTTAGCCTAGATGTAAGGCAGCTTTGAGAAGGCGTCATATGTCCATCCTTCCTTCTGGCTTCTGCGGCTAAGTTATTCCTAATTGCATTAGGCAGGGGCAAGGAGAAGTGGTGGAGCAGCTGGGAGTAGGTAACACCGTGGTTAGGAACCTGGTTTTAACCGTCTATCTTAGCTTTTAAGTTTGCTACACATTTCCAATGGTCCTTCTCTAGAATTATTTACAACCTTCATTCTTGCCTGTAAATCTTTCCTTGAGCGCCTTCATAACGTCTCCAAAATTACCCTGGGAATGTGCTATAATGTCGCTCTCATATCTGGCTGCCTATGCCAGTGAGCGCAACCAAGTCCACACATCTCCCTCCATTACCATATTGGCGGCCACTATCTTATTTTCTTCTTCAATGAATGCATAGGTAGGTTCTAATTGCAGCCTTCCAACCTAGCAGATCCTCCTCCTTCCTCCTATGATAAGTGAGAGGAAGCTTCACATTCATCCTGCTTTTGTATCGTACTTGGCTGTCTCCTCCTCCAACAGCGGGCCCTTCACCATTTCGTCCACCACCACCACCTCCATTTCCATCTCCTTTGTCTCCCACTTGTCCTCCACCACGCTCTTTTCTGTCTTCGGTAATGCTCCGCACAAAGTTTACGAGGGAGTCAGCAATTCCCTTGGTTGACTCTTCAAACTGCTTTGTCTTCCTCTTCTTCTCCTCATGCAGCCTCCTGACTTTTGCAGGCAGGGCATTCATACTCTCAGCGTTATCTGGGGACATGATGGCTATGGCGGCATCTCCCTCTATTTCCTTTGCTGCTGTCTTGGCTCGAATGTTGGCAACCAGGGCTGTAGCATCATCAGCCATAAGTTTCTATCGCTTCAACTCATCCTTCCTTTGCTCAGCCTGCTGCGGTTTGGTTTTCAGATCCTTGATCAGCACATCAGCCTGCCTGCTATCCTGGACTGTCCGCTCGTCTTTAAACAGCCCTCCTCTTTTATATCATCCTTCTGTGCCTCCCTATCTTCACCAGGCAGTGGTTTCTCTTCTTGCTCCCCACTTGCCTCTTCCTGCCCAACCACTTTTCCTATACACTCTTCTCATCCCTGCTCTTGCTTAAGCTTTGCCGGCTCCTCCTTTCCTTCATTCTTCTTCTCCTCCGCTTTTCCAAGTCCTTTTTCTTTCTTTCCCCTTTGCCTCTCCTCTGCTTCTCTCTATTTTTTTTGTTAACTGCTAGCTGTTTGAGTGCTTCGTATTTGGGGTCCCCTGGCTGATACACGAGTTTGTTATCCCACAATGTCTTCACGTTTACATGGCCCATGCGGGAGAACCGCAAATGGAGCAGAATACAGAGGCAAACCACATAAAACACACGTGAGATATAAACTCAAATAGTCTTTGTCAATCAACTCAATCGCACAGAATTGCCTTTCTCACTCGTCTCTCTTTCTACCCTTGGCGTCATGTTCCCTCTGAATACCTCTTGACTTCACTCACTTGCACAAGACCTTGCTTTGGCTATGGGCAAAAAGCGATGTCGACTATTGCCAGCAGCAGCACATCGGAAAATAGTGCAGCAGTGCTTGTGCTTGGTTACGTAAGCTAATGTATGTTGACGACTCAACAACTGAACTCTTGTACCTGACAGGACTTCCTCAACCGGTTATATACCATCCCCTCTGCCAGTGATTGTCACTTCCAGAAGTTCCCTGAATTTCCTTGGACGTTGCTGCTGGCTGGACTGACTTCTACCGACTTTTCCGTAAGTCTGCTGGTACCTACCGGAATTTCCCTACCTCATCCGACTGGTACTAACCTACCCGGGACACAGGAATATGTAGACTGGGGCTGGAACTCAATCCAGGGCTTATACCGCTGAAACTCGTTCAACGTTCGTCCTCAGGGGGAGACGAACAGTGATTCGTCATAGTTCCGTCATCCAGAGATACTCTCGCGATTGTGGCTTTTCTCGTTTGTTTGGCGTATTGCATTCATTGTCAATTCATGCACACGTGATGCTAACTTCAAATAGGAAGGCTTACTAGAGATAGTTCATTGAGTTGAGTTCATTATTGGGGAGCATGATGACAGGACTAAGTTGATGAGGATGTGTCTGAGGAGATGGCTGTTTGCAACATTATTATTTTTCACCAGCACGCTTCCTTCTTCTTTTCCATCTTCTTCCAGACCCATTAGGCTGTCGTTCTCATATTATGTTTGTCTGAGCAGGCGGGGAGAATGCACTGGGGGGGGATCCTTCCATATATGGTCTCCCTTGAGTCCCTTCCCCCTTTCCGTTGTGTCTTGCCATTATATGTGGGCATGACAATGATGTGTGGTTCTCCACTTGCTGTTACCATTTTCTTTTCATTTTTGAGAATCGTTTTGATGCCATTGTGTTGAGAGTTGCTCTGTGTTGAGAGTTGCGCTGTGCTATCTGTTTGACAGATCCACTGGGATGTGCTGATGTCTACAATGTAGAAGTGAATGCAGACCCAGAACACATCAGTGTTAGGGGCAGGCCCCACTGGTACACGAGGAAGCATGAGCCTGGCCGCTACCTGGCCCTAGTAGCAGCCAGGTTTGTGCTTCTATAGCATGAACATATCAACAGTTGCACCTGAGCCTCAGATATAACAGTGAACCTTTTGAAGAGCGAGAGAGCGCCTCTTTCTCACATAGGTTCTCACCAAGCCTCGGAATCCCAAAGAATAATAGCCATTGTCAAGAAAACAGGGACAGCAGAAGCTGGTATGCAATTAGTGGGTGGTGCACACCCGTTGCCAGAATGCGTCCTCAGAATCCATTCAAGTTACTGCATTCAAATGACTTCCGTCCCTTTTGACATCAACAAGTTTCCCCATTCCCCGGCTCTCTCCTTCTTCAGAAAATCTGCACACTCTCATTCAAAAGACAATCGCAACAGAAGTCCCCTCACCTTGCGGAAAAGCTCCTTCATTCCACTCCCAGCAGAGCTTGGATAGTATATCATAACACTGTGATTATCACCTGGATGACAAGTTCATAAGGATTTAATTACGTGTTCCCAAAACAATTCAGTAGATACTAGACACTAGATATTCAATTAAGATGCACGAAAACGAAATGCAAAGGAGCTCCAGAGGCTATAGCACTTCAACCCCTCCCCTCACCCCACTGAAAGGAGTCCACAAAACCCAGCCCACAAGATTCTCACCCGTACTAAAACCCCTCTTAGCCTATCCACAAGCACTCCACAAATCAGGCCCGATCTCATGAGAATGAATCTTAATGTACTCCACTGGTCGCCAGCTCACGCCACATGTAACCCCCAGTATAACTATCGTCAGTGTAATCTGGGGAACTCCTGCTCGTGGCAGCGTTTGGTGCTGGGTTATCCAGGCATGGTACACTTCCCGAAAAACAGCCACGTGGCATGTGCGCTGCTGGAAAGCTTCCGTGCCCTGGTCAGCAGGCCCCACCCAACGTCTGATCAAGAGTCGTCGGTTGGGCGTAAATTTCCAGGGAAGTCACCGGCCCTGTTTGAATCATTCCATTGTCAGTTTCGCTTGGACCCAACGAGGCCCGATTTTGCCTTTCGCAGTTTTGCGCAGTTTTGCCCTATTATTTGGTTTAGCCTTTCAATTACCTACCCCCAGAAAGGACACCTCGATATGCGACAGGAAACTTTGGTTTTGCCTGGAATTTCAACCTTCGGTCCCCCGCCCAAAAGCCTCGGCCACGCCCGCACTCTGATCCTCGCTGCCCGAAGGGGTACTGAATGCTGCGCAGGGCTTGACGTTGTCCATCACACACCCCTTTCTTCCGCCTTTTTTTGAAAGGATTCACGCGGCAGACACCCAGTCTCGGTCCCGGGGTACCGACAAGTCCCAAATCCCAGGGCGGTCCAGTAAGGTAGGCCATAGGGTCTAGGGGTCCGAAACGTCGTAGGTCCATATAGGTCGGTAGGAGTCCTGGTACCCGACAAGAAAAGTCCAGTCCGGTCCGACAGTCCCAAGTCCAAATTTGCAGCATGTCCAGTCCGGAAGCTTCCACCCCCGTTTTAGGGGCAGATGCTGGATTCCAGATCCTAACCTCAAGGCAAGGAAACTGGATAACGGTGACAGAGTGACTGTCCTTCAAATGAGTCGAGGGGGTTGGTCCCCTGCGGGGCAATTCCCCGTAAGCGAAACTGGGTAATGCTCCCAGCCTGTTCCATTCCCGGGTAGACTGTGAGGACCATGGCCTCAAGTTCTTATTGGTAATATACTTTATTTGGGAAAAAAAAAATGTTGATTGTATCTCGATTTGGGCTTCTCACGTGTGAACTCCCATGTGAATGTTCATTGATGTATGCGAGGTTGAACTTGACAAGTACTTGGCTCATTTCAGTTTCCTTCTTCTTCTTCTACTTTCTACTTCTTCTTCTCATCTCCCGTTTCTCCTTTCACCACCACTTAATATCCTGAGTGTCACTCAGACGTGTGTGCGCATGCATATCACCACATGTGCAGCCCCCTGTCGCTCAGCCACCCTTTCTGTCTAAGCTCTATTTGTCAAAGTGTGTATTTAAAATCAGATGGTGATCCTGAGATGAGGCTGATTTTGAGGCAAACTAACGCCCAGACCTACGCTACCAGAGTGGCCTGGGGTCACTTGCCCGGCCGGGCCAAAAACAAATGCACGGAATATGAGTGTGAACGATATACAGAAAACCAAGTTGCGTGTCCAGGTAGTCGTGTCAAAGCAGAGAGTGCAAAATGCACCGAGATACCGTCCATATAGAGCAATACAATGAAGTAATGAGCCAATGTTCAAGCCCGTAGGCCACACCAACACAGTATCCAAAGTCACCCCTCTATGTCTGGCGCCCAGCGCCCAGCCTACTCTACCCGACTATCCTACCTACAGCTGGTTCACGCAACAGGCTCACTTCGACTTTCGAAGACCAATGCACACGACTTTCAACACCATAGCCCTCCCCTCTTCATGTACCAGGTACGTATCTCATCACCCTCGGTTAGACCTTGATTACCCCACACTTCTCCTCCTTCCCTGAAGACCACCTGATCGCCCCGCTGTAACCCCCTGGCGCCCAGCAGCCTGGCTATGGCTGCCTGCGCCCCGCTGCCCTGCAGCGCCCCACCTCACCACTACGCGCCCCGTGAGTGCCCTTGGCAGCGGCGCAGCATCAAGCTGCAACCTTCACGCGTGGAACAGCGGGAACCTGCTCTGATACCAATGCAATCAGATTCACAATCTTTCTCACTCCGCATGCATGCAAACAGATGACGAGTATTCTGGCGCCAGGCGCCCACACAAAGCTCAGAGAAATACAAATCGAGAACACAGGTTCGATACAAACTCGCTTCAGATTATCTATGGCGGCCAAGCGCCCAACTGTCTCTTACAGCCAACCCGTACTCCCACTGCTTACACAAGCGCGCTCACACCTCACAGGCGATCTCCCTGGATATTCTACGCGCATGCACTCTCTCACTGTACACGAACACACACACACTAGACACTTCACTTTCTATCGCAGCTATGGCTGCCGCCTACGCAGCACTACAAGCAGCTATGTCCGCTCTATCTTGCCAACTGCCCACTTCAACTTCGGGCTTCCTGCAGACCACCTAGCACAAGGCGCACTGGCAGTGTTACGGACTCCGCCAGGGCTCGATCCTTGGTCTATCTTTTTGCTGTTTCTGCTGAATCCCGTTTTCGGCCACCCTTTTTTTTTCCCAAACACCCCCTTTGGTACCGTCGGATTTTAGACAACTGGTGCCATGCTGCAATTCGGGCGCCACTTTCAAATACCGCATTTTTCAGTTCTGCCCTCGGGGCTTTTGCGGAAATGCCCCTGGTACCGTACGTGTCACCGGTACTTATACCGGCTCCCGGTACAGTATGGGGACCAGTTTCGTACCAGTTTTTTGCTGCTGTACTCGTACTCAGTGTGACCTGCTGTTTCGGCATTCGGAATCCAAGACTTCGACTTTGTGCCCTTGCCACTGTGTCTGCGTCCGACCCTCAGTCGTGTCGAGTGAGCGAACGTGTGTGTGTGCTCTCACTCTCTCCCTCTCTCTCTCTTCTCCCTCGGCTCTCCCTCAGCCCCGCGCTCGTCACACTGGTATCGGAGCGGTTCGAACCCGCCCGACCCACCCTGCTTTGTCGTCACCACCTGGCCAGCATCAGCATCATCGTCGTGATCGTCGTCGTAGTGCCACGTCATCGTCGTGATCATAGCCGTCGTGCCACGTCATCATCGTCATCGTCACGATCACCGTCGGCGTACCACGTCATCATCGTCACCATCGCGATCATCGTCGTCGTGCCCGTCGTCCTCATCGCCTCTCCGTGCCATCCTCGTCATCGTCGTTGCTACCTCCGTGCCGATAAGTAATCGACGACAATTTTATTTTTTTATTTATTTTTATTATTTTTTTCTTCTTCTTCTTCTTCGTCGCGACTCCGATCCAGCTCCCGCGCAACCTCCCCTCCCCGATTCTCGATCTTCCCCCCCCCCCACGCGCAGTTCTTCCCCCACCCCCGGGTCCGCTCTTCCCGATTGCGCGACTTCCTCCCCCCCCACTTCCCCGCCCCATCATCATCATCATCATCATCATCATCATCATCATCACCCTCCCCATCCTCGTCCTCCTGCCCGTCGTCGTGCCCGTCGTCCTCGTCGCCTCGCCGTGCCATCCTCGTCATCGTCGTTGCTACCTCCGAGCAGATAAGTAATCGACGACAATT